ATTAAGTTCCGGGAAGAAGCCCACGGCCCCAGCAACTCATTTTATGAATTTCTGGTCCAACTATGCAGTTCCAATCATCTGTTTAACAGACAGGCCTTGCTCTCTCACTCTGTCCCTGGGGCTAGGTGTGGTCACGAGCACGGGCTCTGCTCGCAAAGCCCAGTTAAGCCACTGGACCGACAGCATGGCTTCCATCACAGGCCCACCACGTAACGTGATCTCACGTCCGGGGACCCACGCACCTGCTGGGCCTGGACTACACCATCTGTTTCCAACCTGTGCCACTCTTGACAATACTCAGTTCCACTGCTGGCTTCCAAAGAAAACCAATAACCCTCACCTACTGTGACCTTTATCATTTCGCTAAAGATTTAAGGGGTCGGGGAGAAGTGCTGGTCACACAACGTGACCATTTCACTTCAAAAGAACTCCCGTCAGACACGTGCGAATAATCTCCTCTGCCAAGTCTCCCAGGAAGGGCTGTCAACAGGCGTTCCTCTCTATCTTTCCACCTCCCCTCACCACCCTCCCCTGCACCTCAGTACCCCCTCTCCTTTCCCTAACCCTCCTTCCTCCTTTCCCAATCTCACAACCCGTTTTCATTCAGATCGTTTGTGTGTATCTAAACCCAGGCACCAACACTCCCAAAAGACCTACACAGCACAGCATTTCCAAGGGGTGCCTGTGCTGCATCTCAGAAGTAAACCTGCCAGTGATGGGTGGTGGGGAGGGGCATCAGAGGTTAGAGACGGAGACCCTGAAAGGGTCAGGAATCCCAGCTGGCCACTGGGACCTTGAGCAAGTCACACCGCATGTCTGAACCTCAGTTTCTCCACCTATGAAATGAAGACAAATTAGATTTGAGACCACTTCCAGTTTCCACACACTGTGGTTTTAGGTAACTACCTAGCAAAACCAAAAAGTTGTTAACTGAGGTACAACTAACTCTTGGTTGTCCTGACATCTTTCAGCTTTAGGTTTCAAGAACCTTAATTACTTGATTGCCACTCTATTTCTTAACACCCCCACCTTGCAAAAAATATTCACAACCTAAGGAAAGTTTTTCTTCCTCTCCTGGCTTCGGTCCAGCCCCTTAAAGAGCACGATCTTCTGTGAACACAGTGAGTATCAGATTCTACTTCCCTCTGACTCAATGGCTTAACTCCCTACTAAGGAAAACTCAGATCTTGTTTTGGGACAACTCAAGTCCTTCAAAGTCCAACAGCCCCCACTCCTGGGCTCTCAGATGTCTGCCTGTGATCCCTCACACATAAAGTACATTCTTTACTGGGTGTGTCTCCCCTAACAAACTAACAGCCCCAGGTAGTGCCTAATCTCACCATAGCTCAGGCTGGCCTGTTTCCGCCCACCTTAGAGTCATAAACCCCACCGCCCTTCACAGACCCTAAATCTCTTACTTCACGTGCAACCAATCAGAGCCTTGTGCACAAGCCCATCGGGCACCTTGGGACCCGACCTCATAAAAGACCCCAACAACCGGCCCTCGGGGCTCCCACAGGCACCCCTTGTCTGAGTGACCGACTGTTGTCTATGGCGGGGTACCCCTAATAAACTCTTTCTATTCTCATACTTTATCTCTAGTAAATTGTTTTAGTAACTTGCACACCACCATGTCACTGACTGGCCACCACATTGTGCCCACATGGATAGCACCCCCCCAAAAATAAAAATCTGCCAAAACGGTGTCCTGGGAAGCAGAAAGATGTGAATGTCAACTACCGCATGTGCTGTCCTGGCTTGGTTAGCTTGGTTTTGTCAATCCTCTGCTTCTCTGGAAAAAGATTATCTACCCCCAAAGCCACAAAAGCATCTAACTAGGACAAATAGTGGTAAAGAGTTCCCGCCCATGAAGAGCAGCCGCCACTGTCAGACATCCCTCCTAACTGATCTTAATAAGCTGTTTTCAATGAAGGGGAAGGAAAAAGCACAGCACTAACGCGTGGCAATTATCTGTAATTCTCTGTCTGTAGTGCCTCTGAATAGAGAAAATAACGCAAACGCGGACAGATGCTGACTAGAGCTTCACAATGACATCGAAACGAGGGCATTTTGTACAGCAAGGAGCACAACTAAGATGCCGTCTTTCAGAGGAAGGTTTCCATCCCAAGGACAACACACAGCGTGCATTGCGGGGCACTGCAATGAGATGAAATGTCCCCAAGGCATGGTCACTGGGCACAGGCAGGGGTCAGAGAGGTTCAGCACGTGTCCTAACAGCTGATGAGTGGACAGAGATTTCTTTAGCTGCTAATATTTAACGTAAGATTCAGTGATTCTTTATCAGCTTTTAAGTGAGAGGGAGAGAAACAACTCCTCAGCTTCCCAGACAGGTTTTCGGGCAACTTAAAGAACCATAGTCTTCGCGCTGCAGCAATCATTTAAAGTCAAACATCCTTATTTTACAGATGATCAAAAGAAAACCGAAAACAGGTCTCACAGCTGTTAGCCAAGCCTCAGGTGTGGTGGAGGATAAAAGGAAGGTTGAGGGGGGCGGGTCACAGAAGGACCCCTACTCTATATCTGACTGGTAATCTCATCTTCAGTCTTGACCAGGAATCGGCATTCCCCTTAACCTTCTTCATCTCTTTTTGCAGCAGTAAGTCATCCTTGAGCAATTCCTCCATGCCAAGGAACTGCGAGTGCTGAATGCTGGGGTTACAATAATAAGATACACCTTGTTTGGTGAGGACAATTTTATGTAAAAAATGTCTCAGCAATAATACAATGTATAGTTTTAAAAATTCCACGAATCTTCACTCCGGATTTCTGCACCTTCAAGTGATCTCCTGCAAGTCTGTGTGCATGTGTGAAGGGATGGATGTGTGCTCAGAGCAGCAAGCAGCACCAACTGACCTCGTGGCAACAACACAAAAGGACAATCTTCAGCTGAGAGCTGAAGATGGACTAGGAAGAAAGATGGAGGCCCGGTTACTGACAGACAGCAAAAAGGGGGAAATAACCAAGATGCCGGGTAAGCAGGGACAACCCTGCCTACAGCAACAGCCGGGGGAGAAACACAAGTGATCCATGCAGGTGGACCATAGGAAAGCTCATGCTGGTTTGCCCTCGGCTGACAATTACCAGGACTAGGAGCTGCTTGCTTTTGCTTTGATGAATGATGTAACAAATGAAACTGGAAAAGGGGTGAATCAACTTGATTTTCACTTTAGTTCTCCTGAAAGTTACCTGGATTAAAAAGAGAGCACATCCTACTGGGGGAAAGAGGTGGGGAGAGACAAATTGGGAGTTCAAGATTTGCAGATACTAACCTCTACATATAAAATAGACAAACAACAAGTTTCTACTGCATAGCACAGGGAGCTGCATTCAGTATCTTGCAGTAACATATACTGAAAAAGAATATGAAAAGGGATATATGTACATACATGTATGACTGAAACATTATGCTATACACCAGAAATTGACATAACATTGTAAACCGACTATACTTCAACTAAAATTTTTTTAAAAAAAACAGAGCACCTTCAGTCTATTCTGGGGAAAAGTTGGGAAAGAAAAGCTGAAAAGAATTGGTGATTTTTAATTGATTTAATTGACATTAACTTTTCTTTTGGAGTTAACGTTTCAGAATTCCATGGAAACCATATTGTGAACTGATCCAAGCCAATTTAGCACCTCAGAAAATGCCTGGTTCTTTTGCTAAGCATAAGGAGTTTCCAGCACGTAGAGGTTCCTGAGAGCGATACGCTCCAAATCCCAAACTTACTACTGGTCTCAGTCCCAGCATACTTAAGCAAACAGGCACAAAAACAGACGATATGTTCTTTTCTCTTTCTGATGTCAGGCACTTAGACAAAAATCATGCAAGTTCACTCTAGAGGCAGACACACAGCCTTAGGACTGAACAAACGCATCTGGGAGTCAGGTGGAGGACAGAGCCCTCCAGGCAGGGAGGACCCTCAGACCAACTGCCCCGCCGGCCTGCTGGGTTCTCATCCCTCATTCACCAGGCATGCTGGGGCTTTTACCTCCCATTTCACTGGGAAAAACATTCTCCAACATCCTTGGGATAAACAAACCCACTCGGACAATATCTGAAGGGCTTAGGCAACCAACTGTCGATTCCTAATGGAAGTATTTCTGATGTCAACCAAACACTCCAAGGGAATGAAAGGTAATACACGTGTACATCACGGCACTGAGTACCTCCCAGTCTTCTTAAAGTACATGACCACACAGACAGTTTGATAGTTTCTACAGAAGAAAACTTTCAACCTTTAAGAACAATCACATACTGCTATTTTATCAGGCAAATTTCCTCTTATAAATTTAAATTATTGAGAGCTATTAAATCAAATTAATCTTGTTAAAATCCTGTAAATCTGGCCTGGCTCATCATTCTTCTTCTCTTTGAGATAAAACGACTGTTAAACCAACTGTTTAATCATGTTAAAGTTACTATTTACATTTTCAGGCCACCACCATCGCCGTCTAGACCTAAGATTTATTTCTAAGTTCTTCACCAAAATGGACATATTTTTCTTGTGTTACTACTTATGTATATAACTATTATGCTAGAATTCACTCTATTTTAGATTTTCACAAAGTCAAATTATGGTAACAATATTAAAATCATGATTTTAAATGACATTTTAAGAAAAGAATCATGGTGTCCTCCAAGACTTTGCCATCGTAAACTGCTTTGATAATAGGAAAACTGTTGTTTATTTGTATAAAACCACATTATGTTCAACCTTAATGATAATCTTTTATTCCCATTTAAGAGATGGAAACACTTCAGCCCAGAGGAGTTAAGTGTGTTTACCCAAAGTACGAGATGAAACAGGACACAGGACCCAAAGCCAGGTCTTCCTGCCTCCAAATCCTTAACTCATCCGATTTGTTACTGCACCCAAGCCCCTGAACAGATTAACTCCTGAACTATGCAACTCAAAATAACAAAAATCACACGAACATGCCACATACCCT